TTTTGTAGAATTTATCTTGAGTTTCTATAAAATTGCAATTGAATTTCAAACATTTTAAGAAGTCGCTGCTGATTTTTCAATTTTTTTGAAAAAGAATTTTTCTGAAAATCAAATTGAATTTCTATAATTTAAAAAATCAAGCATTTTCTGAATATTTAAAATTCGACGAATGAATAATAAAAATTCGAAAATGCTTTAGCTTAATTAAAGATTTTCAATTTTATGTTCGCAAATGATAAGATACGATATGTTTCATCTAACTCGCACAAACTATATGGCGCCCATTTTTTCACTATAATTCACTTATTGAAAAGGCACAAGAAAAATAAAGCATTAAATTTCTGTTAAAATTGAAAGGTTTGTTATTTGTTACAAGTATGCTGTTCAGAGAGTTACGCTTGAAGAAAACAAATGTTCTTTTTGAAATGAATCAAAGTACGTACAATTTCAATACATCAATATGATGAAACTGCATCTTATTCAACTAGTCACTTATGCTTTCTTGTGCGCTTAGAAGCAAAACAAATTCATGTGATGTGTCCCTTTATTTATTTCGCAATGAAAATAAATATGCTTCGCCTGACACAAATTGGATTACCATCATTCTTTCTAACTTATTGTTTTATTCGGGCATGGATTCTTAAACAGTTTGAAAAGTTCTAACAGAATAAAACTCGAGCGAGCAACGACAAATAATCAGACGAGATGGCTGATGAAGCGGCAAGAACAATTTCTATTTTGCAAATTCCAAATTTTGATCGAGTATCATTTGTTCCCGTTTACTTTAGTTTTGGTAATATCACATTTTAAATATATTTTATTACGTTCAGACATCGTCAGGAAATAGTTTGGACGAAAATCTAAGTGACAATCCATCGAATCCAGCAACTGCTCGAAATATCAAGGCTGATTTAGAATCAGTTCCTGAAGTTTCAGACTCTAGGTATATCTTCTCTTGATTTTCATCTTTCACCCTTAATTAAAAAATATTTCGAACTAGAATCAGCAAGGCCAAAGGCTTACCAACAATTTTACAAGTTATTTTTGTCGGCATCACATTAGCAGTATTGCTGATTGCTGTTGCTTGTCCGATCATTTATTTCACTTCGACTGGTGAGTAATCTATTTTTATCCATCATTAATTTGTTTTGTGCTAGTTCATATGTCAGATGGTTTATTTTCTACAGTTTACTAACGAAAATATCATATAATGTCTAATTTGAGGTTTCCTTGAAAATGCTTTAAAATTCTGAAGTATTCTTTTAGTTTATATTGTTAGTGATCTAATTAGATCTAACAGACATTTGCGGGTATAACAATTGTATGTGTCGCGATGGGTTGCTAACGTAGTATCTAGCATAATCACTTTCTTTACATACTGTCGCTCCAATGAAAGAAACTAGAATAGGTCTCCGAAAATTTGAGAAAGTCATATATTCAATAAATTTTGATGAATATTTAGCAAAAAATGAACAAAAACGTACTGCATTGTGTTCTTTTCCCAAATGAAATAATGTAATTAAGTATCTTTTAGAAAAGAAAAGTTGGTTGTATGTCGCTGAGGCGAAAACAACTGCTTATATGTACATTTTATTTTGCATGGGTCCGACGAATAGTAAGATATCTATACGATGTGTTTTTCAATTTGAATTCCTACTCAAATAGAGGCGCTTATGTTAAGATAGTCAAAAACATTACACCCTAGAGCATGCGTTAAGTTAAAGATACACGAAAAATGATGATACTCTGTTATAAACATAATAGTTTATTCAGGATCTTTCATTTCTCAAAAATATAAATTTCAAGATTTATGATTAAAACAGTCACCGCATCAAGAATATCATTAATTTTCAAGCTGTCACAGAAGAGATAACATAAGTAGAATTCAATTTATAACTGAAAATAACAGAAAATAAATCATAAAAGCGCTCGTTTCGTTGATATATATATATATCATCAAAGTTATTATTTTAAATGATTGAAAAGAATATGTAAGAATAGAAAACTTTTACAATTAATATTGAGTAGATTGATGCATTTGAGTATAAGAGCTACTGATTAGAGATGACACTAGGAAAACATCATCGGTACGGAAAATTTGGTAAACTAATTCTTTTTTCTTCTCTTAATAGTTGAGATGATTTTCATTGATGAATTCACCACAAAGTTACTCTTTTCTACATGTTCCTATGAACGAGATATTCCTACTTTGATTTATCTAAACAATCTTGTAAAACTTACCTTTTAATTTCCCTATATCCTTCTGTATACTTTTTCTCATACAAAGTAACGTCTTGTGCGAGTTTCTGGACAAAATGTTCGTTCATTTTCTGATCAATTGCAAGAGTTAGCCAAATTTTAAAAACATTGTATTAGAATCAAAATTTTGTGTTCTCTCTGAATCTGTGTTCAGAATTTTTGTGAGGCACTCAGATTAGAAATTATACTTGCAGTTTTGAAAGGCGCGAAAATAAAATTTGGACGAAACTGCATGAACTGAAAAATTTAGACGCGGAAAATCCGATCATGTCCGATTTGAAATTGATTAAATGATATTTTTCTTGTTTTCTAATTAAAGAAAGTCAATATAACTTAGTTCCAGTTTCCTTTGCTTAATCACATAGCAGTTTGGATCTTTTTCGATCAGTATTTGGGTTGTATACGCCCTCCAAAAGTGATAATTAACTTATTATATATTATCCATCTTTTTTGACAGTGTAAAGAGCATGATGGTCCTCCAGAAGCTGAGAATTGACAGTTTTTCACCAGTTTTTCAGAAACAATGGAGGAAATTTTGATATGCGAAAAATAATCATTTTCAAAAACGTCATTGAACCTTTTACTAAGACTCTTACTATTCGAAGAAGCTTCAAAGGAGACTAATTATTAGGATACAGTTTTATAAGGAAATCTTTGCTGTATCTCTTGCAGTACGCAGAATAATTTTTTACATCTATCTTGGATTATATTTTTGGTATTGAAAACCGTCCAAACGTTATTTTCGCGCCTTTCAAAACTTCAAGCATAATTTTTAATCTAAGTGTCTTAGAAAAATTCTGAACGCAGATTCTGAAAGAACACAAAATTTTGATTCTAACACAGCCTTTTTAAAATTTGGCTAACTCTTGCAATTGATCGGAAAATGAACGAACATTTTGTCCAGAAACTTTCGCACAAGACGTTAGGTCTAGCCGAAATACTCGCACCGAGTCTCTGAAAGATATTATGCATTTAAACTATATTATTGCAGTTTTTATTTATTTTGTATTTGACTACAATAAACAATAAAGTATTTAGCTGCTAAAGTCATTATAGAATTGACTGAAATATCATACAATATGATATATTAGTTATATTGTCATAAATAATTAATTGATATTTTTGTAAGCGATATTCAAAGTATTTTGAACGACTTGATATTCATTGAGTTTGACGCATATTCAATAATTTATTATTCACATATACCTTTTTTATGAGAAGAAAAGTTCGATTGAAAACTGCACCGTTAATCGAAATATAACGTTAAATAAATGTATTTTGTGACATTTCGTAGAACAACCAGATCAATGTCCGTTCAGTTATTGAGAGCAATAAAAAATAAAATAAATTAATATTTATCATTCGTAAATAAAACCCGTAAGGAATATACTATCAATCATTCTCTATAATAGTAATAATAATAATAATAGCTTAGAAATGAAAAATATACTTGTATTTGTCTTTGTCGACGACGTCATTGTTTTTTATGCATCTCATTTTTATTATAGCTTTAGTAGCGAGCTATTATTATAGTCGCTATAAATCGTACATAGATAAGAGAAAGTCAAAGGTATTATATAACATAAATTCATGATGTTTATAATTAACGATCAATATTTGATTATATGATATTTATAAAAAGTTTGAAATAACATTCGAGTTGATAAAGCACACTAAGTAGATTTTTTTCATACGGATATTAATTCAGCGAACTTTTCTTTCTGTTCTCAATAAATATCAGAACGCTGACGTCATCAATATTTACAATATTCACCTATATCTCATTTCCATAAATCGACGCAAATATTATTTTCCACTCGCTTTCATTTTTTTATAAAAAATAATGTAATTGATTCCATGTACAAATGCAAATTCTAGTGTTGTTTCTTAAATAAGAAAAAACTGAGACACTTCGGTTTTTTCTTTTCTCTTGCTAAAAAAAAAAAAGAACGAAGAGAAAAAAAGAAGCATTCTCACGTCTACTCTAATAATTGCAGTGCTATATGAGTAACCTATTCAACACAGTTAATGGTTAGAAAAAAGAACCTACGATAAGAAGACGAGAAAAATAGTAAAATGAATATACATATCTGTGTTATATCAAAATCAGATTCCAGTGCACTCTAGACATTTATGTGCCAATTATGATTAAATTATCCGTCTTTGACATACTATCACACATCATACATACACACCCATATATATATTTATAGATTATATATTGGTTCACCTGAGTAATGCATATACGTTATTCGTAATACTCTAATATATAAATCCTCATCATTAGTAAAAAATATTTTTTCCTTTTCAGAACTTTCATTTACTTCTTTGCTTGCACGCTGTGCGTGCAAGTCAAAACTATTGCTAACAAAGACGCGTTTCAACAAAAGCGACATTATTTAGTATATTATTGACAACATGTAAGTTTACTATTTTTATTTAAGGGCTATTTACATTCCTTTTGCAAAAACAAAAATGTAGATTTAAAATATGCATATGAAAATTTTCAGGTTATCTATGCATATATAATAGCGATTAGAATGATTCGAACTATGAACGATGTCTACGTTAGGTTTCATTAAATCGATAAAAATAGACCATTGTCTAATGTCCTTTCTTCATAAACACCAACGCTAATTAGCTCTTCTCTAGCTAAGTGTTGCTTTTTTTATTTGTCTGTAAACAAACATCTTATCCCAGTGATGAGTCAACAGCAATTGCATATTTTAAAAGCAAAAAAGTTTCTTTCCCCTCTGAATGACTAATTATAAAATTGAAATAGTGTCTGAATAAGAATGATATATTCCAGCCTTTTGAGATAGTAATCGTTTTCAATGAAGATTGCAAGGAAGTTGAAAAAATAGTTTTAGTTTTTGTTACAATGATAAATTAATTTTATTTCCACATGAGATCACGATAGAATATTTAAAACTCTGTTTACTTCTATACGTCTGCGATGATTTATAGTAGCGAGTCTATTATTATTCTTTTTATCTCGCTTTTTTCTAGTTAATTTATTCACTAGCGAGGAGAAAAAGTGAAAGAATAAAAAAAACCCAAGGCGACAGTGCCAAACGGAAGAGCAAACTGACAGAATAGTGAATGCACCCATTATCTTACAAGTCAAACAGAACGACAGAAGCTGACTAGAATATTCAGGAGAAAGAAGTAAATGATGGATTGCTAATCCTTAGTCTGGAAGTATCGTATTAAGGACCATGAATGTGATGAATACTCCCGAAGACTTTTTAAGCGTGAGTAACGCTAAAAATGCTTTATTAATTAGTAATTAAAATGATTGAAAATAGGTTTCATGATTATAGCTACGGTTAGAATTCATATAACTACGGTTAATAGTTATAACTATAGTTGATGCTTATACAAATTGCAAATATTGATCGATTCAATCGACTATGGACCTGTCAAAAGTGCACTGATGAATGAAAATGATTGCATTTTTTTCCTTTTTGCGTTCGGTGTTCATAGCTAGCTGTTCACCTGGAGGAAAAATTCTGAATGTCCGACACAAAACCAATAACACACTTTTTCCTTGATGCATCAACACCAGGGAGCACTTGTCATAGATGAATAGATAAAATGCTATTTAGAGAAGCTTTCATAAATAGTGATTTTTTCAAGTAAGAATATCGAGAACACGTCTGCTTTGCATCTGTTCCGTTGAATATGGCAAGCGAATCAATATGATTATTATTTCAACATAATATAATCTGCATAGAAAAAAAAAGTCAATCGAATTAAAATAGTTAGTGTTCATGACAAATGTAGAATGTTATAAACAACTCAGATGTTTTTAATGAAAAATTTTTTCATTTGTAAACTCTTTACTCTGTGAAGTTCTCATCATTATTGTCATTCTAGAAGACTCATTTCGAGAAGAGACGCTTCAAATAGAACAAAAGATCACCCTGAAACAATTAGTTAGTTGCAAACTAAAAGCTTTTCTGAAGTAAATTTGTATTGAATTGTGCTTCATTCTCATGACTTTGAGTTAATAACATTATAAGACTAGAACGTGCTTTACTTCTAGTCTTATCGAATTGTTCCTTGAATTCGAAATATCGTAGTGCATTTTGTTGTTGTTGTTGTTAGCTCGTACAATGATCATTCTCGAAAAATAATGGGAGATTTCTTTTGAAATGAGAGATGTTTCATTAGCAAAACGAAGCATCAAGTAAGATTTTCAATGTCTTTTGTCACTTCAATCGTAGATTTTATTTTATTTTACCAAACTGAATAGAAGCGAAAAATAAAGGCATAGAGTTATATTTGATAAGATTCTCGAGAAAACAAAAAAATGTAAAAATTTGACATTAGGATATGAATGATTTTACGATTTCGATAATATTCATCGTATTCTCATATACATTTTCATATAAAATTTCGCAGTTTCTTTTGTTAGGAGATACTCTGGCTGCCTATTTATTTCCTTGGTTGGAAATCTAAAAATAAATGGAAAGACTGATAGCAGAGAAATATTTGAGAGTAAGCAAAAAGAAAAATGCATCACTTCATGGATAGAGAATCAGATCAAACTTATTTCTTCGAAAGCAAAGTTTCAAATAATTATAACATGGCATTGTCACGTTCGCGTGATTTTTCCTGACGCAGAATATTGAATGTGAGTTTCTATTAACGTTTTGATACGCCTTAGCTATCTATTTGAAGATCATGGAGTATGAATGAATGATCCTTCATGAATTTTTCAGGAACGAAAAAAGTAATTGAACAACATTAATAATACGTTTTTGGTCGCCTGAAAAATATTTCTAAGCTTTCATCGAGATCGATCAAGACAGATTCGAGTACTCCTTTTTCAATAATCTAAATCATACAGATTGTTTTTCTTTGATTCACCAAGCAATTATATCAGCACAACTGTGACCCATATCGATATTTTCTCGTTTATCTTGATACAAAATCAGGTATTGAAGTTTTCTGTTGATATAACGAGACTCGAGAATAGTTATTTTATTTTTCAACTGCAGTAACAATGATCAGCATAATAACAGATTATAAAAAAAATTCGATGTAACAAAGGAGCACTCAAACCGGAATACAGCATAACACTAAACGAATTACAAATTTCTATTCGAAATGCGAACATCAATAAGATAGAGTGCTATTTAACAAACGATTAGGTTTGAAATGCAATTATCGAACGTTAGAGATTTTTCACTCGATTTATTTTGAATTAGAGTAATGAAGCTAACTAAGACATGTGAGTTACACATTTTTAGGTCCAACGGGACTATGCATACAAGTTTTGTTTTTAATTATAAACAAATTATCAACATGAATCCGTAGAGATATCTGATCTCGGAAGAAGGTCGTATATAGACCATAGAATATAACTATGTTCAGGAGTTCTTATTGTTTCAAATGTATTCAAATGACAACAATCCTAAATTAATTAGGGGATATTGCCAACATGAACAATGTCTCAGTTTCATACAATAGTCGGCTATTCCATTGAAGTCTGAAGAGTTACTTGCTTTGATCACAACAACAACAGCAGCGCTTTTAATCTTATCAGAGAATGTAAAAGAGGAAAGTCATGCGTCAAGAACAGATTGAGTACATCACATTTTCCTGAGAGTTCATCATTTTTCTTATCTCGTAAGCTCTTGTATTGAAAGATAAGGCATCAGAAAAAGAAATCTTATCTAATCTCAACAACTAATAGAACTAGTTTTGTATTTTGTTGTTGAAATCTCGTGGAAGAATCTTCTCTATTCCAAGATTTCTATAAAACCAATATTCTCATATCGGGTGGATATTTAATAATAAATAGGAAAGAAAATTCACATAGCTGCTAGTGTAATGCCCGCAAGATTCAAATGCACAAAATGATTTGAGTGCAATTGCAAAGTACAGAGAGATTATTTTATTTTATTTTATTTTATCTTATCTTTTTCTCATGGACTTAGTTTTTCATCATGTTTCAAAAGATTACATGATTGATAATATTTGAGTTCAATTTATAACGTGTTGTTATGATCTCTCGTAAGAGTGCAATTCAGTGAACGACCTTTCTGAAATCTAATTGCAAGATTTTGAGCTTCGTATGAGTATTCCGAAATCGAATATTGAATCAATTTTATGCATTTTTTTTCACCTTAAGAAGTCATACGTATTCACAGGTTTACATATTCGATGTCACTTATCGCATTTGACACATACGTGCTACCTTGAGTTTCAATGTCCATCAATGGTTACGTGAATGAATGTAAAAGAATTCGTTTATAAATATAATTCATTTGACATTCAATGCATAGAGAAAGAAAATGTTCGATTTTCATGTTATAATGATGTTAATTTTACGTATCAATGCATTGATTGATATTTTTCTCTTGTTTGACTTATACTAAACTATTGATCAATGTTTATTTTCAATCTAATAAAACAAAACGTGATGAATGATGATTACAATTGCTTACATCTTTCAGTGCGATAGCACCTTGCAGCATCTAGATTTTCATAATTTTACGTGCTAGTTGTTTGTGTATAAATTATTTATAGGCAAAAAGATAATAAACAAGCGATGATAGTATTTATGCATATTGATGTCGTCTAGCATGGCGATCATAGTCAACAAAAAAAAACAGAACATGATCTGTTAGATATATACCGTTATAATGGGCAAATTTAATCTAGAAACTTAATGATAATCAACCAGATAGTATTTGAGTTATAGCATAATAAATTATTATCGTTTTATTGTGATTAATAGATACTTGAAAAAATTTAGATTCAATCGATTATGACAAATCATTAGCAACAAAACTATATTAAATAAAGATTTACTTTTTTTTTCTATTGGCAAAGGGCGGAAACAAATGTACAACAAGCTCGAGGAAATCAAACTTCGAAGAAGAAACGCTCGGGGGAAGACGAAGATACAAATCAAGTGGAGACACCATTATTGGATTTACCATTACGAATTGAAGTAAAACAATCCAAGAAAAAGGTAGCTATTCCTTATATTTGTTTTTCATAAATATTCTCGCTGAAATTTAAAAAATGAATTCATAACATCATCAACAATCTTATTTCAATCAGTTGAGTTATATCTCGAATAGAGATCAATGACATTTCTCACGTATTGATATTGAAAAAAGTCATGATGATTGACAGGCTTATATGTTAGATGGTATTAAAATAATAATAAATATCACATTCACCATGTTGTAACACTCGTGTCTCTATTTAGGCTTAATCAAAGAAACAAGAATATTATTGCTTGCTAACAATGAGCACGTCAGCGAGATAAGGAACGGTCAAGCAGAGAGTGCGAGCAGAAAAAGATGAAGAATAATATTAATTCCTACTATCCTTCATATATTTGACTCATGACTAGCAATAATAGCATGTCTTCTACATTCTTTATGGAATACAGATAGAAAACAATGTTGAGTATATAATTATACTATATGTATATACATTAAGAGGTAAATATAACTTCAATGGTATACATGTAATTATTGAGAAACACTTGATAATTTATCAACTGTTGAATATTACAGCTGAAATTCAACAATATTCCCCAGCAGGCTTAACATATGTATTACTTTTCTGATGTTCTTCTGCTTTATTTCTACGCATGATTCTCGTCATATTTGTCAATCACTAAGCTAACATGACAACAAAGAAAAACAAATAAAGAACAAATATTCTATACAAGTACTTTGCAGCTTAAGAAGTGAGCAATATTTTTTATTTATCCGAAAGCTAGTTTAAAATCAAAGTGGTGTTCTAACTTTCCGTGTTATCATTATTAAGTAAAAGCCACATGTATCATGTGCAGACATGATTATTAGCAGGAACGAGATAAAAGGATGTTTATATTTTCATGTGTGATGTGAACTTTTATGTTACCTTCGTCTTTTTCTTTTTTATTCAACAATTGTTACAGTGAGAGTTTATTCTTTAAAGAAACGAAAAACGAAGTTCAGGAGATTGGGGTAGGACAGGAAAAGAGCAATGAGAACGTAAAAATTTTAATCTGAGTAAATAATAAACGTAAGCTATTTGCGTTTTCTTTCGAAAGTTCGTTCTTTAACTGAAAGATATCACGCACAAAAAGAAAGAATTCAGTTCAGAATCAACGATAAGCAATAAATTTGATTCATTTTCATGTTGTATATTTGCCTTAGGAAATATTCTACTTCTTCTTTAAAGTTGATAGTTCCTACTGTGTAACAGTTATAATCTGACTTCATACTATTTAGATGCCTTCGTTGAAAAATAAATCAACAGCCAACACTGATGTTGTAGGCGGTGGTGATTCGTCAATGTTCGATATCACACTTGCTCAACTTACGGAACTTATGGATGTACGAGGAATAGATTTAACAGAAAAACTTCATTCATCTGAATATAATGGTATTAAAGGCGTATTAGAAAAATTAAAAGTAGATGTCAATAAGGGACTTGATTCCAAAAATCAGCAAGATCTTGAACAACGTCGCACAGCTTACGGAAGAAATGAAATACCACCAAAACCAATGAAAACATTTCTAAGATTATGTTGGGATGCGCTTCATGATATGCTTTTAGTTATATTGTTAGTGTGTGCTGTTGTTTCAATTGGTCTCTCGTTTTATAAACCACCTCAAGAAGGCGGCAATGAAAAAGAAGATGAACGTAAGTAGCATGACATAAAATTAGATTTTTTGACATACGTTCATATAGATGGATCACACGAAAGCGTGTGCTGATTGATCTATGTAATTACCAAAATAGACTCTTATCTTGCTCAAAGCGAACGATGTCATTAAGAATTGATTACTAGCACATGTTTTCTCTATTTCGGTGTTCTCTTTTTTAGCATAGTCATAGATACGACATGTACTCTACGTGCTTAAAAGACTTTTCCTTCCTTGACAGATTATTTACGATAGTGACATGTTAGACCTTAGAAGATTTTTATTATCAACAATTGTTAAACTAAGTTAACAAAAATAAATTATGCATAGCATTCACATTAGAAATACATGTTTGCACAAAAAAAAGTAAAACTAATCATGACACTGAAACAGATGTTACCGATTAAAAATAACATGAGTGCAGGGCCATTGACGTCAATGATTAGAATAAAAATCGTGCTCTAAACTTTGCATATAAGTCATAGGGTGGACTTGCAGTAAGAGAACGAAAATATAGAAACAAACGACCTTTCTGGAGATTCAAATTCATACCTCCTGCCATTCTGGCAGTTATCTCAGAGATAGAACCGGTCTGGATTTTTGACGATCGGCACTGGTATTTAGCTACGGATAGCATTGATCAATCGATGATTCTTTAATGCTAGAAACTAAGCCACTTTATACTATAAGAACAAGAAATTCTGAAGAAGTTTATATAAAAAAAACAAGGAAAGGGAGCAAGTTAGACCAGTTACTGGTCAGTCTGATATGAATGCCGGCTTCATCTCTGAATTATCCTAAACCAATTAGACTAGAAGGCACATTGTAATTTTTAGTTTAGCGTCAGGATGGACTATCAATGGTTCTAACACGTGCTTTTCATATTGACTAATCTTTAAATAAAATCAACAGTACATATGTGGGATTAAGATTATATATTTGCATTTATTAATAAATGGTGCTACTAATGAGTTTTAACCGGATAATCGAAACATAATTTTTCTTTATATTGCTTCACTGTATTTGTTAATAAAAACAAAAAGATAGGCCATTTATAATTGCACCAAAATATAATTACATCGGATGTCGGATAGAATAATTCCATATTTTGAGTTTACAACGAAAACAAATTTATAATATTATTAAGTTTATTTAATTATATGCATCATATAATACTGGATCTTAACGAATCTAAATCAATAATTTTTCTTTTAGCAAATCTTGAATGGATTGAAGGTGTAGCAATATTGGCTGCTGTTCTTGTAGTTGTATTTGTAACTTCATTCAATGATTGGCGAAAAGAACGACAATTTCGTGGTTTACAGAATAAAATTGAAAAAGATCAACAAGCATCGGTTATAAGAGACAATGTTATACAGCAAATTCCTATTTCAGAACTTGTTGTTGGTGATCTTTGCTTTATTAAATATGGTAAAAACAATAGATTAAAAATGCACTTTGTTTTGCTAATAAAAATCTTCTTTTTCAGGTGATCTTTTACCAGCTGATGGTTTAATTGTTCAATCAAGTGATCTGAAAACTGACGAATCATCGATAACAGGTTCGTAAGCATAGTTGAATTTTGTTAAAACAGACGTAGTGAACGATGCGAGTACAAATTTGGATCTCTCCTACACCGCAGGGGATCATCAATAATTACAAAATTGAATAGTGTTTTCTTACTATCATTGATCCAGATGATGTTCTGAATATCATTTCTGAAAGATTGACTAAAAAGAAAAAGAAGAAATCTATCCCAAAAATCGATAGAATGAATCAATTTTCCTGTAACTAGCAACATTTGTTGCATCATGCTTTGCATTTAAAAGTTTTTGTTCTAGTTTACAACTTGAATTTTTTTTTGTTTTTGTTTAGGAGAAACTGATTTAGTAAAAAAACATGAAGATGACGATGTTGGATTACTAGCAGGAACCCATGTTATGGAAGGTAGTGGCCGAATGCTTGTTGTTGGCGTTGGTCTTAATTCACAAGTTGGTAGAATTATGAGTCTACTTGGAGCAACAAACGATGATTCTAAAAAGAAACAGGGTGGCAAAAAGACAACGAAAAAAACTGAAAACTCTAAAACTCCAAAACCAAAACCATTATTATCAACGAAAGTTTCACCTGATAAATCGAAACCAAATGATAATGAAAGCAATAATCAAACGGTACATACAGAAAACGAAAACAATCGATCAACAACAACAACAAGTTCAGGCGTTCATAAACTGCCACCATTTTCACAAACGAATAATGATGAGCATGGGATGAAACGCACAAAGACAGAGAATAGTAGTCAAGAACAAATGAAACAATTGAAAGCAGACAAACAAAAACAATCTACTAGTCGATCAATAACAACAACATCATCATCTCTTGAACGAGATAGTTTTCGTGATGAGAAAAATAAATCAGGAGAGAAAGAAGAGAATAGCAAACATACTAAAGAAGATCGTGAACAGAAACCGACTGATCCAGCGGGATTAGCTGAAGCGGTCCAAAATAATGATGATAAATCAGGTGAATCAAAAGCTAGTAAACACAAATGTAAGTAAAACAACAACTTTATATAAATAAAACAGTAAATTGATGCATACAAAAAATATATTTTAGCTGTTCTTCAAGCAAAATTAACAACATTAGCTCTTTATATTGGTTATATTGGTATGGCTGCTGCGTTTTTAACACTAGTCTGTTTAATCGTTCGTTTCTGTATAACAACTTATGTTCTTCAAAAGAAAAAAGCCAAAGCAAGTGATGTTAGTTATTTTATTGCATTTCTCATCCAAGCTATTACCGTCGTTGTTGTCTCAGTACCAGAAGGTTGGTTTATCTGTTAAATACTTATGATAGAATAATGTCTATTTTTTGTAAACATAGGTTTACCATTGGCTGTTACACTTGCTCTTGCCTATGCTGTTCGAGTCAGTATAAAAAAATATTTGAATTGTTAATTTGAATTATTCATTTATTTTATTGTATCTAAATAGAAAATGATGACTGATAACAATCTTGTTCGACATTTAGATGCTTGTGAAACCATGGGTAATGCATCGACAATATGTTCAGATAAAACAGGAACTTTAACAACAAATCGAATGACAGTTGTACAATTCTATATAAATGGTACGTCAATATTATTATATTCGTCTATTTAGCAGCGGTTAACTCCTTTATACATGATTCTTTTCATTTATTGTTATTATTCATTGAAATGTGTGTCTCTAGGAAAGCACCATGAACACATACCGAAACATGAAGAAGTGAATCAAGATGTATTACCACTCCTTTTCGAATCTATATGTGTCAATTCCAACTATACATCAAAGATAGAAGTTAGAATAATTACTTTTGATATGATTCAAATTCATTTTGTTCATATTTAGGAACCAAAAAAAGAAGATGGTGGTTTATCAAAACAAATTGGTAATAAAACTGAATGTGCCTTACTTGATTTAGTGAAACAATGGAACGGATCTTACGATGAAATTCGTAAAAAAATTCCTCAAGATAGTTTAGCTAAAGTATACACATTTAATTCCGCACGAAAAATGATGAGTACAATTATTCAACGTGATCAAGGCTATCGTTTATATACAAAAGGTGCATCAGAAATGGTTTTAGCAAAGTACGAATATTTGAATAGATAATTTCAGTCATTTTGTTTTTAAATTAAAGATGCATTTCAATGGTTGGTGAAAATAATCAACCCAAAGATTTAAATGAAAATAAAAAGAAACGAATAACACATGATGTGATCGAAAAAATGGCTAATGACGGTTTAAGAACAATTTGTATTGCATATAAAGATCTTGGTAATGAAAAACAAAATTGGGATGATGAAGATAAAATTGTTAATGGTTTGATATGTATTGGTATTGTTGGAATTGAAGATCCTGTTCGTAAAGAAGTAAGTTTATCTGAATGGTTTCAATTTATTTATTTCGAAATAAATTTTCTATTAGGTACCGGAAGCCATTGCAAAATGTCAAAAAGCCGGTGTTATTGTTCGTATGGTAACAGGTGATAATATAATGACAGCTCGTTCAATTGCAACGAAATGTGGTATTCTCAAACCAAATGATGATTTTCTTGTACTCGAAGGAAAAGAATTTAATAAACGTATTCGTGATTCATCGGGAAAGGTTCGAAATTCTTTTTGTCTTCTAATGTTCGTTTTTAAATTTACATTTTTGTTTAGATTTCGCAACAGAAACTTGATGAGATTTGGCCAAAATTACGTGTTTTAGCACGTTCATCACCACAAGATAAATATAATCTAGTGAACGGTATTGTTGAAAGTCAAGTAACACGACATCGAGAAGTTGTAGCTGTGACAGGCGATGGAACAAATGATGGGCCAGCATTGAAACGTGCTGATGTTGGATTCGCTATGGTAATTGAAAATATTTATATGTTTTTAATACTTTTCAAATACTAATTAATGTCATGACGAGGAACACTTTTGAATATAAGTCTAATATCTTCGAATTGTTTTTCACGCTACTGCGTCTTCGAACAAGATGATTACACGGTTGTGCAAAAAAAAAGAATGAGCATTTCTCCAGAGAACATTTTTAGATAGGTAATAAACTGTTCATACCTTCACTAAGATTGCTAGAAGTACAGTGCAATAAAAATTTATCTTAGTCATAAATAATAGATCGACAAATATAATTATTTATAAAATAAAAAAGAAATCAAAATTGATGTTTTCTTTTGCGTATCTTTTAGGGTATTCAAGGAACAGATGTTGCCAAACAAGCATCGGATATTATTTTAACTGATGATAATTTTTCATCCATCGTCAAAGCAATGATGTGGGGACGAAATGTTTATGATTGCATAGCAAAATTTCTTCAATTTCAACTTACTGCTAATGTATCAGCCGGTGTCATATCAGTCATTTCAGCTGCAGCTATAAGTGTATGATCTACATTCTTCTTATTTTCTTTAATGAAATGTAGTGTACTAAGAGAGTACTGAAATATCAAATTAGAAATAAAAAGCCACCGGTACAGTAGCCGGTATTTTGCAAACTATGGCAGGCATAAACTCAGTGATAGATCCTTCTGTGGAGTTATTACGAAGAAAAGCAAACAGATTTGAGAGTAGTTTTAACTATCATTCCACATTTCTTACAACATAGAACATTTAACATCTTTCGTTTAGTAGTAACTCCATAGTAGGATGAATACAGTGAACTTTATTCATCAGGGTCCGTTCTAACTATTTCACGCTTCACTATATAACAATATTTGAAAATAAAACCTGGGAATTATCACGATTTCATGAACTGATTAGAATCAGTGGATTACACTGTCATGAAATTTCTGTTTCTTCAATGAACGTCTTCAAATAAAATCTATTCCAAATTATACCATTCTATTATCTTCAGATTTGACTGGCAAACAAAAAATAATCATTTCTCTGATATGCTATCAAATCTATTCGTTCGAGTCAATTCTGGATTCGCAAGTAGCATTTAAAAAAATTCAAAAGCAGTTTACACTGCTCTATTATGTGATACAAAAAGTTAGAGAGATTTAGTCGTCCTTCACTCAGTAACCCGATGTCCCCAGTCATTTCATCACAGACATACCTGTATATTTTTACTTTAAAAAAACTCAAAGATATTTCTCAGAATTATTTCATTTATAGTGTATACAAAAATACTATCAATAGATGTTTTTTTTTCTAGAGTGTTCCATTGAGAGCTGTTCAAATGCTTTGGGTAAATCTTGTTATGGACACATTAGCATCGTTAGCACTGGCTACAGAGCCGCCAACAGAAGAACTATTAAATCGAAAACCTTATGGCCGTACAAAATCAATCATATCGCCATTGATGCTACGTAATATTATTGGTCAATCACTTTATCAACTTGCTATTATGTTTATTATACTCTATGCTGGGCAATATTTTTTGGGTTTTGAATCAACCGTTGCCAAGATTCAAAATGATCCGCATGCTGGAAGAGAAATAAATATACAATTTACAATGGTATTCAATGCATTCGTATTAATGACTTTATTCAATGAAATTAATGCAAGAAAATTGCATGGTGAAAGAAATGTATTCAAAGGAATATTTACAAATCCATTTTTCTATGGTATTTGGTTATTTTGTTTTTGTTCCCAAGTAAGAAAAACAACATGAAATGGGAGAATGTATATTTACATATGAATATTTAGATTTTAATTGTTACTTTTGGTGATAAAGTTTTCAGTTGTGCCCGATTAAATATAAAACAATGGGCATGGAGTTTACTTTTTGGTGTTGGATCACTAATATGGCAGCAGGTTTGTAATATGCTTCTGTCTAAAATTATTCATCCATATTATATTCCTTAATTATTTAGATTCTCTTATTTATTCCAATGAAACCATTTAGTAAATGTTTTTCAGCGTTCTGTCGTATTTGTTGTCCATGTTGTTGTAAAAAACAAAAGAAAACTGATGAAACAGGGGGAGAAGAAACAGAAGGTAGCAAATCTGATGGTAAAGATAAAAGAAAACAAGCAACCAAAACGACTGATACAGATTCTGAAGATGATATGTATCGTGACGCACTTTCCAAATATGCTACTATTGGCCAGTTAACCACTGCAACAGTTGTTGCTGAACCACCACGAGTATTTGCTAAATTCATGCTTCGAAAAAGTGTTGATCGACTTAATTCAGAGGTTTGTGTTTCATTTGTTATTCTTTTCTTTCTTTTTTGTTTCTATTAATTGTTCATTTTTAGTTTCGTATTATTAATGAATTTCGATCACGACTTGAAGAGCTTCAAGAGAAAAGATATGAAGAATCAATCGGACAAAAACATCATAGTCAAGACAATATTGTCGAGGAATAAACGTCAAAAGACGTGCTATCAATCTTCTTGATTGTTGTGTTTTTTCTCAATTGCTTTTGATCAATTCTGTAATGCTTGTATTGTATAAAAATACTGCATCATTTTCAATATTAAGATATATGAAAACGAAAAACATGTTGTTTTCTTCCCTTGCCTATTTTTTATTCTTTGCTTGTGTGTCTTCATACATGTTATACAATATTATAATTCATGAAGTTTTGTTTTTGTTCTGGTTCTTGTTGTGTAAATATGTGTGAGTGTTAGGAAGTGACATATAGCTCAGCAAATATATTGATTTGATTACTCGTAAGTATGTTCTGTCATAGGTTAAACTGAATCAAAATCATGAACAATATAGGAAAAAATTAGATTTTACGATACGACTCAAAGATTACAATTTTTCCAAAGGCAAGAAATATGTGTAGTAGCTCTTGGTTTCGATATTTACTGGGATTTCTATCGTTCTTAGCTGTACAATAAATGTTACAATTGTAGAAATGAATATTTCTTAATATCAATGAGGTTCAACAAGGGAAAGATTCACACTGTTCATTGAATATATTTTTATGACTATCGAGAACAACAGCTGATAGAACGCGTTCTAGGAGTTCCTTGGTGTTGAAAAAGTGCTTAACAACACAAACCATAACAGATTGACTGTTATAGAATAGTACAGAAGTGTTTCTTGAAACGTTTAATGATTTGCACAGTTTTTTCAATGTTCGAAATAAACAGATTTTTAGTCTTGTTCAGATAAAACCTTTTTTCAATATCTCAAAGATATCGCGTAATCATGAATTGATTTGGACACAATTATCATTGAATCAAAATCGAACACGTGCATTAACCAAGTAATACCTTTAGAAAGATTGCTAGTAGCTGTACTGATGAATCTGTTAAAATATGTCATAGTGTGCTGAGGTTTTCTGTAAATATAATGGATATACACACAAGAGCAGTTAAATTGATAGTTAGAATAATAATATCATTTTCAAATAATCATTTTCATGAGGATTTATCAATCCGTGGAAAATAATAGTCTGCGAAAGATTTTTCCCTGAAAATATTTTTCTGAGCACGATGTGACTAGAATCTTTTTGACATTTATAGCTACAATGAGAAACATCGTACAACTCTATGAAGCATATTATTAGATTACAAAAATCAACTCTATGTAATTCGGAATATGATTCAAACAACACTTTCACGGGTCAGAAAACCCTGTGATCATTATTCTTTACTCAAGGAATTCTATATCATTTATCGATTTGCGACAATTGAAATGAAATATCTGATTTAGTTGCTGTGGAATTTTGACTTTTTTTCCCAATGCAGAATTTATATGACTGAGTAAGCTCTCGACAAATGCATTCGAGTAGCATATTAAATACATATTCACACTTCTATTGATGATCATCATTAGAAATGTTTTTTTTCTAATTTCAGAATAATCCATCTTGATTCTTATATTCGTCTAAACATTAAATAAAATAATGAAGAACTAAATGCTTATTGTAATATGAGATCGAGGTTGACTCTGAACTTATTAAATAACAAATAGAAGATTTTCTTTTTGAAAAGTCATATCACTATGTTATGATATAGTGTTTATCCTAATAATATAATATAACGAGCAGCCAACATTCAACAAATCTGTTAAGTGAAACGTATATAATCACTATGGGTATCATCAGAAAGTGTATACACTCATTCAGGCTAATGTTCTATTCAAAAGGAATGTTTTGAAAGAAACTTGAATTGAATTTCCCTTAGCAAAATTCAATACTGACTTCCATTGCAATACATAAGATCTCTAGACAAGATCTGACTAGCGTGTACATCGCAGTGTCCTGATAAATCACGAGCGGGACGTCCTTTGCAAATATTTTTTTCGCTGGGATCCTGACAAACGCTGCGACTAGCGTGATATCTTCGATATTCTTTTTAAATATTTTATATTACAATTATTTTATTAATCGCATTATAAATGTTGTCAACCATGATAACAATGAACGAATGAGTAACAAGTAAATATAAACGACTTTTATTGTGTGAAAGTTCATTAACAAAAGTAATTACTACCGCAAAATTCCAAACATTAGCACTAATGAACATCGTGATTTTTTGAAGATTAGTGAAAAATGTATGACAGACACAGCATTCATCACGATAAATCACATTCTTAAGAAAGAAAAATGTTCATATAAAAATAGAAAATATCTAAAAGAATTTGAAATCTGATTCAAATAAACCATATTCTATCTCAACTCCATCCAAAATACTATCAATCAATGATAATTATTTATCAAATGTCAAAGATACTGTTCGTTTCGATGTAATTTATCCAACTAGACCAATAAAGCAATGCTAGACAATGGACAACAAAAAAACAACGTGTTAGATATTTGCTAGTAACTTCATTATTTGTTGATTAATAAAATTAATCTCTTATTATCAATACAAATCATCTTCTCAAATATTAGATCATCATGATTTGTTAGTAATAAAAAAAAAGTACCGATGTTCGCTAGTGTCACGAACATATTCGAATAAGTAACCAGGAAACTGATACCTACCGCCGTTTGAGCTCATATTGGCATCACATGGGCGCCGTGGTGAGATTAGTAAATTCTAAAATGCTTCTTTTTTTGTTTTAGACCTTTGAAAATATGCCAAAGTCATTTTATGAATTTCCAATTCATGTTGAAGCATCGGATAGAAACATCAGGTAAATAATATTTCAATAGAAAACTTTGTACTTCAGTAAGTTAAATGATAGATTGCCTATATATTCTGAAAGCTTCAACTGATAAGAATGTTATTCTATCGAGATATTGGATTTCCAAACGATATTGACTTGCTGTAGATATGTTACCATAATCGCTTTCTTTTTCATTGGTAATACATCATCGGAATATAAAGAAACATCCTTTTCGATTACAATTCTCACAATATATCCTATTGATATTGATATCGGCTTTTCGTTGACTTTTTAAATCAAATTCTATTTTACAGCATTTTCTCTTAAGAAAAGCTGACATTGATAATTTGCATCCATAATTGTGTACAAAAAAAATTGTTGTTTTTCTATTTTAAGATATTGAAATTTCAATTTTTTTGTTGGATTGGATGTGTCAATACGAAACTCCTTATCTTCATAGTTCAATAATAATAAAAATAGAGCCCATTGTCTGACAAAATATTTACTTCGATGATTGCAATGTCATTAACTCGAAATCTATTATATTTTGTAGCAAAAACATTTCGAAAAGCTACACGTGTCTCAATAAACAACATTAGTTTTCAAAATAGAACAACCTATCATCGAATCAATTGTATGCATTTATTTTTTTCCTCGCGTCTCGATAGTGTTCGAGTGTAAATGTGTACATAAAATTCTTTTCCACTTCCCTCTTATTCTTCTCTTCCTCTTCTTTTTTTATTCGCATAAGGGCGAATCAACTCGAACTAATTCTCCATTGTCTACAGAAGTATTCTTTTCTAAGAGAGCGAGAGAGAGACAATATCATCATTGATATAACGCTGTCCAAGGCTGTCGAGCTAGAAAAGAGCAAGAAACAGCAGTTAACAATATATTACCAAGGTTCTTTTTGTTTTTACACACATGATAATAATGACAACAACAAGAATAATACGGATACAAGACTAAAGAAAAATTCAACACATAGATAAATGGGTTCTGATCATCTAAGACAATATATGTATATATATATATATACATAATAAGTAAAACTTAGGATCTAAATTAATACATTTACAAAAAAGCAAAAAAAAACTTTTGGGAAAATTTCGAATCATATCTGATAATCTAGTTTATTATTTTTTTTTTCTTCTTTTTTTTCTTTGGTCTTTTCTCTGTTTCTTTTCTTTCCTTATTGATTATCTATAATATGGCATCGTTGAATATGATTATCACTGGCGCTCGTACTAATACCGCAAAAGGAGAAAAAAAGATAGTACAGCAAGAGACAAGAAACGATTGGATAACATATCGACAGAAATAACCTCTTTTTTCTTACGTCCTGCCCTCTTTTTGCCTTGCTTGATACCAAAATCATCGGAATATCTAAATGGATTGGTATCTTCTGCATTTTTTTCCTCTGTTCTGTTGTTGCTGCTACTATTACAAACTACTACTGCCGTTGTTGCAATCGTCGTTCTTTTTCGCATCCTAACATCTTACAGACACATTAGGAACAATCCAACCTAAACCATAGTAGCAATGGCCGATTTGCCCAGTGATAAAGTTGACGAAGCTAAACAAGTCTTTGAAGTATTCGATAAAAAATATGAGGTAGGAATTTTATTTAGCTTATTCTTTTTAAATAGAACCCTTGAATTGTGAATCTCTTATTTTTATTTTTACAATAAAAAAAAAGGGTAAAGTCGATTCATTTTACATCGGAGATATGCTCCGTTCGCTTGGTCTTTATCCAACACAAGCTGAATGCGAAAAACGTGGTCAAACAAAGAAAACAGGAGAAAAATCAATAAAAGTCGAAGAATTCTTACCTATCTATTCAGAATTTTATAAAATGCCACCTAAAAACTTTGGTACATATGAAGACTTCATGGAAGGTTTAAAATTATTCGACAAAGAAAGCAATGGTTTAATGTCATTGGCTGAACTTACACAAGTACTTGTTGCTATGGCTGAAAAACTTGATCCACAAGCTGTCGAAGAAATTCTTCGTTCAACAAATACGAAAGATGATGCCGAGGGCATGTTTAACTATGATGTTTTCGTCCGTGCTCTCCTTCAAGGTCCGTTTCCAAATGAATCGACTTGATAACTTGGAATATTAACACTTCAAAGACCTAAAAATTAGAAAAAAAATATCAACTTTGTCACTTGTCTTGTTTTTTCTCCTGCCTTCTTTTGTCTTTTTTTTATACATGTTTATTCCTTTTTATCATTATTTCCCTTCTTTTTTTTATACACACATGCACACAAACATGTTCTCTTCATTACAATGCACAGCAAGAAGAAGATTATGAACCGACATTATTATCACTTCCTCTTTTGTTTGAGTCTTATTATCATATCTGGTTCTGTGCGTGTATTTTATACCGTTATATTTTTGTGTTGCAGCAAATACTTTGTTGCTACTACTTCTTAAGAATATACTAGAATAAGGCTAAAAAACAACCGTACATCAGTATTAGCAGGAAGATACTCAACCCTCCTTGTGAAAGTGTTCTTACTTTTTAAATATAAATCTTCATCTTTTGATCCATTTTGTTAATGTTTAATATCAGTGGCTACCGAAAAATTAATTCGTAGAAAATTTTTCTCAAAAAGTATTCAAACAAAAACAATAACAACAATACTAATTTTATCTCCAGTTGATAAATAATTCAAAAAAATATCTCGGATTCTTTATATATTTTGCCAGATGTAATAGTATGAAATAAAATATCAATAGAGTCATCTCCAATTTAAATAGTATACTTATGCAAAAATAACAAGACTTAGATTAATATCATCATATTGATAATCAATGTAAATTGTGAAATGATTTTAATGATTTAGACAACAAGTCTATAGATAACCATCTACAGGAACAAAAAATAACGATAATAAGAATTATTGAAGATGCTAACTAGCACGTTACATACACGTATATCTCAAGAATGAGAAAAATAAGTAAATATGATTTTAAAATATTGTTTATCAAAAAGACATCGGTCCTTTTTTTATACATCGTATATCATATGGATTGTGTATAAATTCTTCTATGATGTAATAAACCGAATAAAAAATAATGTATCTCAGCCAAAGTCAACATTCTATTGTCAATAATTGATTTCTGTTCACTAAATGTCTTTTATGTATATTGTTAAATAACTATTTAGTGACTAACTCATCGATATTTTACAATCTATCATATGTATTCCCTCTACTGAAAGGAGGGTTACACGAAAAGTGAGCTATCGCCGTTCGTTCGTCCAATAGCAAAAACAGATGCATAAACTTACCTAACAGCAAACAATTTCTCCAGGGATAGGTATGACCGAAGGTAATTGGGGTCGGAGAACACAATGGCGTTGCCAGGTTTTTGAAATTTTGTAGTTCAAGCAAATTTATAATGCATTAGCAGCTGGTTAGATCGTCCCATTTTCGTGATAGGAATTCTTTGTGGGGGAAATTTTTTAAGGGCAGCATTTGATGATGTTTATAGTGTTAGATGTATCGTATGGTTATGCGCGACCTTATTACGAATAAGCTATATGCATCTTGCGGTGGAATTGATTCTCAATTTGGCAACGACTAGCCACTGACCTGCACTAAGACGTTGAAGGCTTTTTGTTTCAAAGTCTTCAGTTTATTCTTGATATGTCAACTTTTATTGTAGCACGAAGAATTTATTCAAATTTAACTCCTAGCATTCTAGATTAGCGCATCTACGAACGGACTCGAGCTGGATAAGTACTCGGGAATCTTGTCTCATTCTTCTCTAAATGGTGAGGAATTTATCGCATATGTAGATGAAACTGGATTAAATTAGTCCTACAATTGTTATTTTCGGGTTTTTTAAAAGTTCTCTTTGTTTTCATCTAATAATTATAGAATGAGGCGAAGCTTTCAATCAATCATGCCGTGTTTAAAAGAATCACGTTCACTGCATATATGAGACAAAACTGGCCGCTCAGTTGAAAATCTGTTGTGATTATCAGACTACGGGTCTTGGAGACTTATAGAATAGTTACACGTTGTCTCGATCAGAAAAGTTGAAACAATTTTGGAAAATGGTAAATATCTTCAAGTTCTTCCGAAGAAAGGTCACGAAATAATTGCTCAACTCGTGTGAAACATTTGAAATTTATATTTCTCGGAGTTATCTTAATAAGTTTAGTTTTTTCTGATTGCGAGTGCATTTGATTCAAAAGATGTAAATCTTAGATTTATCTATCTGTGAACGTGCATCCGGGAATGAATATATGCATTCTAGACGGGAAACGCACCGAAACAAAATGAACCGACATGAGGTTGAGCAAAAATGAGGACAAATCTAACTGAAATTGAATTAAAAAAAGTCAGTTTGATTTAATCTCTGATCTGCTTGTGCACATTCATGTTAAATATCTAGTTCATAGACCAGTTTGAGTTGTAACTTTACTAAAAATGGGGCATTTCGATCATAGCTCTCCTGAATGGGTCTTTTCTTCACTCCGTTATCAAGCTGATCGAACGTTTTCGAAGATTAGGTTGAGCTGTAGCAGATCGGGTGCACTTAACTTCACTATTGCCATATAGTATTAATAAGTACTACTTAAATACCGTTTTTCTGGTGATACATCCAAGCAAGTTTTCTATTTATACTCGGTTATCAATCGTGTTTTCCATGAAAATCATTTCGAAACTATAAAATATGAAGTCTCTCAGCTAGATAGTTTTGGATAGCTACGTTCTATATGATTGAATCATTTCAGTAGAGAGTTGGCGACGCTAACATCGCGTTACCTTGTTGTAAATATAATAAAAACTAAAAGGTAAGTTGACAGTATTCAAAGACAAGGTCCATATTATATATAAAAAATCTCAAGGTTTCTCTAAATAACCGTTTGCTAAAAGTCTATGTACGTAGGCAATGACTGAGTGACTCAAATACGTGAGAATCAAAAAGAAAAAAAGTCGACAACGCAAGCACATGTAAGGCTTCAAAGGTGAAGTATACGATAGCAATGCAAAAGAAAGAACCAACCATTCACATCAAAAGTGCATTCTTCACGACGCAAGAAGAAATCAAAAGGAAATAGGAGTGTATGTTAAATAAAATTTAAATGAATAATAGTCATGATCATCCTCATATACATCATCAGAATATCGTCATAGGTGACATATTTCTGCATTTGGAGACAAAACCAATAATTATTCAAGTGGTTATTCAATCTCCATTGGCAACATCTCCTTTAACACTTGATAAACCAGTTGTTCACCGATTATCACCGAATTCTTCTGGACAAACTGGCTCTCAAGGTATTATTTCATGTGATCTAAAAAATAGTGTACCTATTAAAGCAACTCATGAGCGAACAAAATCATCATCAACAAAAAAATTAATGCGTGTGCATAAAGCAAGTTTAGCATTAGTTAAAGAATTAAAATCAAAAGTATCAAGCTCAAATCAGAGTGAACTCAAATCAATCACTACAAATGCAAATGTGAATGCTGAACATACGTATTTTTAATTTAGTAGTTATTACATTTGTTTTTCTTTGTGTAATTAAATAAATTTAAGAAAATTTTAAAAACACAAAAATATATATTATATTAGTGAAAAAAAGGTAGTAGACTTCTTTGTTTTTTATTGACAGAAGAAATGACTAATACATGATAAAATACCATTGTACTTTAGAAAAAGAAAATGACTTATCGAATACCGATTTGATAGCAACGTGGCAATGACATACGAAAAAAGTAGTAAACCCTCGCGGCACGTTCGTCCGCATTTCTGTCGATATGTGGAGGTATAATAGCGGTCAACGAAGAATACCCAATTATTAAACTATCACACCGTGGTCATTGCAATGCATATCATACCGAACGGTTTGAATCGCTTCGAAATATGTATGTCTTCTTATTTGCAAACACACAATCTAAATTACAAAATTATTGAATTTAATTTCAATGATTTCTTTTCTATTTAAATAAAGAACAAATGTCAATTTTACTTTTAATTCGTTGACTAGACATCATCGTCACGATCTATGTCATAAGCTAGTTCTTTTTCCTTGAGTTGTACAAATAAAAGTCGTTAAGAAATTTAGATAAGTGTCTTATCATTAGAAACATACCTTCACATCCTTCTTTGAGTAGTTTTTAAATTTTAATTCGCAGAAAAAAACAAACTAATCGAAATTTGTTTGCTATAAAAATTTTAATTTTATTCAATTCTAAGTAATACAAAGAAACACAATAGCATAGAACAGTGAGAAAACACATGTATAAGAGTAGTCCGTATTCCAATCGATTGAGCAGTAAGAAAAGCATTAGCGATCGCCATGCTTGTGCTATTGATGCACTACTATTACAATATGATTTATTGCATACAAGTACAAGACTCGATACTTGAGCTGTAAATTTTGGATGACTTAGATAAGCTAATCTCAGCGACATATTGATACCTAATGCATCTGTTGACAAGGTCTCGTTACAACCTTTTGTCATCGTATTGAAACCTAATATTAATGCACAATAACCTGTGCAAATACTTGTTGTTTGATTTGATATATCACTTAGACATTCGATTTTTTTACCATGAAATATTGAATGATCGTAAAATATTGGTTGAATACGTTTTAATAAATGTTGATTAACTATATAAACAGGATGGATTGTTTCTATTTCTAAACAGGAAATAGGGCATTAGAAGAAAACAAAAATGAAAATGTAAAGAAATAAAAACAATGAATTCCTATAACTTACATCATCGATTTGTGTTCGACAAACTAGTTATGATAAATAATTCTTAATTTCTATTAAAATAATATAAATAAACTTACAGTAGTTAATAGTAAGTTGATGAGGATTTGTTTTTGAAAATTTCTTTTTCGCATATTTGAAACTGACTCTTTATACATCCAGATGCTTCTTTAAAACTATCGAACATTGCTTGATTTTGGGTACAATTGATTTGACAAAGTCTTTCTTAATCAAATTAGTCTCGCAGAAAATTTTGATACAAAACATTTTTTTTAAATAAATAGAATAACAGAGGGAACATAAATCTCCCTTAGACTGATTTTTATACAATATTTTGTTTGTACTATTTTTCATTTTTGAATAAGAAAGTTTTAGTAATCACTAGTCCATGTCACTCGCTTCTTCACCTCGCCGTTTGAATATCGATAATAAATAGCTGTTTAGATAGCAGGTATCCATCAGCCGGTAGATATTCCACACTGTCAGTGAAGTTCACCATGGTTTCTTGAGGGTTTCAACCATACCACAAGCAGTTTCAATCAGGGAAATTTACAAAGATTTCAGCATTAAATTTTAATTGAAACCAAGGAAACAAAAAACCGAAGAGATTTTCGTTTGACTGTAAAACGTATCTATTTTTACAAAATTAAGTGTATCCAATCTGATTTAGCGACTTTTTATTTTTAATTCCTATCGAATTTTCATTACAGTACGCTTTAAATGTATTAATATGATCTATATACAAGATGCTTGAAGTTTCTCTCGTAGAAATTCGTTCTCGGTACATTGTGAGCTTTGACAATACTGATCTTAAACAAACCCTATCTATCAAATACATTCAGATCAGAAATAATCACAGGATATATTTTTCTCCTAATAATAATATTTTTTCCTATATTTCAGGTGTAAAAAAAATAGAATTGTAAAGAGGACACATTTTCACAATCACTTCACCGTCTTCGCGATAGCGATAACCTAGTATTCGGAAATGGCAATTATGAACCTATGATCTCTGCTGATATTTTATGCTTGATAAGTAAATGCAAACTCATCGATCATTTCCCATTCTATGACTTTGTTCTGATATTCTTGCTGGTAATGTATGTCTTTGCTGGGTCGTTCATTGTGTTCCATTTCAAGGAGGATCTCATGAAATATCTGGAAATACATTAAGGTCGATTCCAGTTGATTGGAATGCTCGCAAGAATGACCTTCGTTCATACTAATGATGCTTACAGATATGCTGCTGTCTTGACTGCATTGCTTGACAGTGAGTTGTATTGCTTTGCAGATAATTGACTTACCGAATGTATCAACACCTTTTATGTCGTTTCGACTTTCACTCCATTTCTTCTGTTATTGCTTGTAGTCCCAAAAATTATCAATCGCATCCAATTTTGGTATGCTATGGGTTTCTGATACTGCCGCATTGTGTTTTATGGAAGATCGGCTATGATGAATTACAAAATGTTGATATTGTCAACGCTTTTTCTATTTATACATTCGACATCTGATGTATTTTTATAAGTTGCTTTGCCTTTGAGGCTTAAAAACAGATCTCCATCTAGTTTCAATTGAAATAAGGTTTTCACCGCTCCAATAAAAAGAGAAGCAATTCAACAATGTCGTTGATTGCAGTTTTTATTTTGTTTTCCATTGAGACAACAGTGCGAATGTCCTTGGATTGAATAGTTTGTTTGGTAAATTGTTTACTTTTCTTGGATTCTTTTGATGTAATTTCTCGGTATTAGTATGGTTGTGATCGGAAGTACGAGTATGTGAAAGAAAAAGCAATAGAAGAAAAGAATTCACCATAAGAAAATGCTAATAATGTCAATAGCTACATATCTTGGTGTCTAGCTCAAATGATGAAAATTCTTTTAACTTCAACTCGACGATCGTACGAATTATAAATCACAATAATTAGAATTTGCGTAATATAGGCTCTTTGAGTATTAGAAGTATCTGTGAATATGACCATTAGATAGTCGATGCTGTTGTAATGGTTTTTTCTCTCAATGTGATAGAGTTCTTCACTCTGAACTTCAATGCTTGATTTTTTAACGTATCTTGTACTAATTTAAAAACATGTGTCAAACAAGTCAAATTTTGTTCTTTCATATTCTAATTCTTATTGTTTATGCAATTGTCAAGACATTTGATATTCTTACAATATATTTATTCAAATTTGAGTTTCTATGTTTTTCAGTTGCATTCAACTATGAAGAAGAAAACTTTTCTTCCTTGAATAAGTGTGAATCATTAGAACTAATTATCTGATTGCCATCTTAGCAACTAAAATCATCAAAGATATTTTAGATACAATCGTTGTTTTTTTTTTCAAACTGAGAAAAGTAAGCATTGCTATTGCCGAAGAATCTTAATGTGCTATTCTTTTTGGTTTCTTTTGAAAATTCAACTCTAACAAACAAAACTATAGGCAAATGAAATTTTATTATTGTGACCATGATTTTTTCTCTTCCCTTGGAGTCTTTACAATAGCTAAAAATTTGAAGGATTCTCTAAAATTAAATGAATAGTGAATAAATGCAATATTGCATTTTTCTTTCTTTCGTTGCGATGGTACATCATCGAGAGCCTTTTGTTATTCTCTGTTCCCCTCTAAAAATGAATAAAAATGAATTCAACTCTATTCAATATCTCAAATTCATTCCTTCGCTTCATATCCATTTATCTGCAAGCATTCAAGATTGTGAAAACTCTCTAAATTATGACATCTAATAAGAAAGATAGACAAACTAAAGAGCTTACTGAAAGATCGATTCTTGTTTTGTTTAATTATACACAAGAACAACGACTTTTACAAACGTTGTTACGCTGGAAATCTTTTTGAATTTCGTCTGTATCGAGAAGAATCGTAACAAAACACATTATCGCTACAAATGAGATAGATTTTTTCAAAGATTTTTGTTCAAAAAAAAAGAGACACTATGAAATATTTTTCCTACGACAATAAATCTGAAATCTTATATTGTATTAAGTGAATATAGTCGAATAAAATATATCTCTAGGAATATTGTTATAGACTTGACTACATGAATGTTTCCTATATTTTGGTTGTACCATTTTGATAACTGTGAATACATACAATTGAGGGTTAAAGTAAAGCGAAAAAGTTTCAAAAACAAAAGAACTCGGATTTTCTTTAAGCTGTTTTGCGTGCGACCAAGATCTGTATGATTTTTCATATATTTCAGATGAAAAAATAAATCAGCCGATTTATCACAATTCTATTCAATATAAAATAGTACTATTTCAAATAAACCTTTTATGAATTTCATTTTATCTTCAAAAACGAAACTATGAATTATGCAGAGCAAAAATAAAATAATTTAAAATTTTTATCTCGACAACGACTAAATTAATTTGTTCTCCTTGAAATTGAATGTAGCCTGCGTTGGTGAGAACAATAAATAGTACAGTCCTTTTAGAGTTTTCATCTTTCTCAATATAAGCATCAAAAGTGGTAATACTTTTTTCAACTTCTAAATTATTAAAACAAAGGCAGCATTACATTTGATCTGTCCTCTCTTAATTTAAAGCTAATACAATGAAGAAGTATTCGATGTCTATCTTTAGAAATAAGTTGATTGACCTTTGAGAAGCGTTACCAATCATGACCGCAATCGTGTAGACTTTTACATGTGGTCATTTAATTGATTGCAACTGAAGTTGTTCCATTAGTTAAAGAATCAAAATTTGATTCTGCAACAAAAAGCTCTACTTCGAAAGACATAGTCGCTGT